GGACACAGAGGTAATAATACAGTCACGCTGCTAACTAACTACATACACGTGCAATTGTCGATAAGAATAATCAGTATCTAGGACACGTGACTAAAAAAAAAATAAAGGTTACACCGAGGTGTGCTAAACAAAAAGTGTCTTTTGTAGTTAAAACTGTTGCAAGGAATGGATTTGTACTGAGTCAGTAAGCGTTGGACAGTTTAATTAGAGCGAATTAGTGTGCGTGATAGTTTTTTGGAAATTGAAGGTGAAACATTGCGAGAACTTCACAGGTGTGGAAAACGTTTCTCAATGACGTTCTTCTCTGTCTGTTTCTCATACTTCATCTCCCAAGCAAACAGAAAGACTTTATAACATTTTAAAACGACGTAAAATTTGATCGAGAAATTATTTATAGATATTAGTAACTATTACACCTTCAAATTTTTTTTAGAACATTATGTAAGAATTATATTGGAGAATTATGAAAATTTGCTTCACTTTTTCAGGCCAAGAAATCGCAACAGAATTAAGTTAATTAATGAACTTATATTCATAATCTTTTTTACGTAGAATTGAAATTTTGTAAATTCAATTCACGCTCTGTCGATTAAAAGGAATTAATTAATCAAAAATTGAGAATAATTAATTAAATAATCGCGATAGAGTCTGAACTTTACACCTTGAAGAAGTGTCGAATTTGTAAAGTTAGGTTCACGAAATCGACGACGAACCTTCAAGTGAGTAACAGGATTTCTTTTTTGCGTGTGGATAAAGCTGGGGAAGAATAGAGGGTCCTTGACGAAGAAAATGGGCGTATTGTTGCCCACCAAATCCCAGATACCTTCCTCGGTGTAAAACTTGACCGCAAAACCACGAGGATCCCTGAAAACGAACGAAAGTAAAAACTTACTGAAGAACGAATTAACCATCAGAGATTTCCTATTTTCCCTGTATCCAATAATAAAAATACAACACTGATTCCTATCAAAATTGACTTCAACGTGTGTCATTATTTAAAGTTATTAAGATTATTAAAATAATATAATTTAAGCCTACGAAAATGATCAAAAAGTTGAAATCGTAAATCGGCATCGTCCTTGAAAGTTTAACGCGCGAGTTAAAATGAAATATTTTATATTCAAAAAAGATACATACTTTATCCATTTATTTAACATTTTCATCTTCATAGATTATTCATGCAGAAAGAATATCTTAGTCTTATATTTCTTTTTCTTTTTTGCAGTCTCATTTGCATTTTCAATGAAACAACGAACTGACTCGGCTTATTAATTGAACAATATTACATGAAGGTATTAATATTTATCGTTATTTTATAATACTGAATATATATCGTTATTTCATTGAATATATTTATTCATTTTTACGAATATATTTATTACAACTGTAATTAAATTTTATTAATTAATTTCACGAATGTATTTACTCAATAGACGATCTTTGAACCTCTAATAACCAAACTAAATGTATTACTATTGATTAGAAGATTATCTGTACAACGAACCACACGCTCAACGAGTTAAAACTGCAACTGTACAAATTATAAACGGCGTGAAATCGCTCGTGATTCATAGAAAATCATTGTTGCAGCAACAGTTTCAAAAGAAGGAACTTTTCCTTTTTTTCTCGCGTGTTTTTGTGTGACTAAGCGGGCTGTATCGCAGACACGCGAAACAAAACGCAACTATTTAAATCCTATTTCTAGCACTTTTGCAATCCGTAATTGCAGTAAATTTACACGCGAAGCTTGAGTTTTCCCTTTGTGATCATTAGTTCTCATTGTGTTTGAAATAATTTACGCTGTGCTACCTTTTTCAAACAATCCGCAAGTAATTGACTGTGAATGGCAACAAATGCCAACGAGTTATACATGTATCTCTTGCAAAGATGTTTAGAATTAACATTATTAAATTATTAGACTGCTGACGTAATTTTATATATTTATAAACATAATTGAAACCATTTGATTTCAATTTGTTCGATCTATTAAATGTTGTAATGGTCAAGTGTTATGACATTATCTTACACTTTTGCATGCATTTCGGAATCTTGAATTTCTCAAAAGTACATGAATATTTATTATTAGTTCAATTGTTACATGCGTTTGAATATTTATTATTAGTCTACACATTTACATGTGTCTATCAACTGTATTATCTTATCAATGAAAATTCAGTTACCTAGTTATCCTCAATTCAAGTTATCTTGTCTAAAAATTAATACGCAGAGTGTTTCTGGTTCGATTCTAAGTGAAAAAAAATAAATCGAAAATAAAAAGTAAAATTTCTTCGTTTTTCGAGGAAATCGAGATTTAAAGAGTTTTTTAAACCGAAAAAAAACACATCCAAATTTTCTTGAAAACGAAGCTTTCAATCAAAAAGATGCTGTTTCGAATTTATTTTTGCGCGTTGAATGATCTCCCTGATCTCTTGATTATCTGTTTCTGTCCAGCGCAAAATTAGTGAAATTCAAGTACACGTGATAAATTTTCAGACTCGATTTTTTCAAAAAACGGAGGCTTAAATGCAAAAGTTACACTTCTTACTTTCGATTTATTTTTGTACCACCATCAGATCGGAAACACTCCGCACGTACAACATAATTTGTCATTAAGTTGATTAAAAAGGTTGGTTATCCAATACCTAATTGTTCAAGCTTGTTTCAACAAAAGAAAATGCACGATCTCATTAAGGATTGTTTGTCTGGCGTCGATTTCAAAATGGAAAACCAAAAATGCTATGCTATGCAACGGTCGCAAAAAAATTATCTGATATGCATGGCGAAGAAACCTTCAAATTTACGACAGTGTCAGAACTAGTTTGCTAAATTTCACTATTAAAATGATAAAGACATTTTTAAAATTACCTGAAAGATAATCGAACAAAATGGTCAATGTATTAAGTTTTTGTTTGTAATATACTAAGTTTTTATGTTCAAAATTCACACAAGAAAACTGGTTACTTTTTGGTCAACCCAATACAAGCATAGTGAAAAACCTACAAAATAGTAGAATAATAAAATCCTCCAAAGCTCACATTTTATCCAGAATGTAGAACAGAGTGAAAATTTTTATAGTAAATTATTATAGTAAAAACAGTAAAAATATAAATTTAGTATAATAAATTATTGTAGTATAGTAAATTATTATAGTAAAAATTTAGTATAGTAAATTTTTATAGTAAATTTTATAGTAAATTTACTTTTAGAATAGTAAATTTTTATAGTAAATTTTATAGTAAATTTACTTTTAGAATAAAATAGATTAAAAACTCAGTTCTCATCGACACACGAAGATTTTTTTCCCCTCAGTCCCCCTTTACGTCACTAACAAAAACTCGCAAAATTTTCAATTTGAGATACAAGGCCAATGTCGCAAGCACGTTCAAAACGGAAGTGTATAACGTTGGCGATTACCTGGCAGTATCCGCGGAACCAGACTCACCGCCCACGGTGGAGAACCTCACGGCTATGGGAGTTCGTTTTCCGATGGAGGAGAATACCTTTGCCTTACAATATCTCGTAATGTCGTGGGTAACTTCGAAATAACCGAACGCACCTGCGGCCAAGCAAAAAGGGAAAAAATGAAAACGATTCTCGATAGTAGTACGGGGTAGTTCGGTTATGGGTTATCCAAGTTGTGCGGACACCACGAACGTTTTATGGATATTTCTTTGGTGTATATGTAGCGACTTCTAAGTTTTCACCGGAGAATTTCATAGTTTCTCTTTTGTTTTTCTTTTTTTCTTTTTTTTTTTTTAGTTATCGTTGTTGTGTTGTTTGAATTTTATGACGCGAGAGCACCATCTAGGAAACTTTCGTGGATTGCTATGACATATTGAAGGAAAGGAGAAGTACAAAGTTGATGATTGTTGAAATATTGTGTTATTAATATGCATTATGCGTGTGCAAACAAGGAGTCACGAATGGATGTAATGAAATATTATTACTGCTTGACGGAACGAACGAATGAATATTTTCGATTGATAGCTGATAAAATACTTTCCTACGTCAACTTAGATTTTTACATTAAAAAGTGAAGACCTTATCGTGATCTAACGATTTATATAGTATAAAGAAATTTCTCGAACATTACAAATCTAATACATCTTACTCTCATCTTCGTAACCGCTTTGAAAAATTCACAAAATGGCGTAAAGAAGAATTTTTTTAGAATAACATAAATGAATTCGAGACCTCAAAGAATCAAATTCAGAGTCTGTCGTTTTTTTGTACTCTGAGAATTTTGCACAATTCATATTTCGAGAAATTCTCTTACTGCTTCCAAAAGCAATCGCTTTAGTAAATATTTTACGATATTATAGTAAATATTTTACGATATGATTAGAAACATGATGAATCAACGTACCAGCTCCTTTCGCGTGCACCACGCGCTCCGGAATTCTTTCTCTGGCGAAATGCGACATTTCGTCCAAATAGACGAAATCTTGAAGCAATATTGGGCCATGTGAACCAACCGTTAAGCTGGCTTTCTTGTTAGCGATCGGTGTGCCATTTCCGGTCAGCAATACCGGCCGCTCGCCCTGAGAAAAAGGACAAAAAGAACAATTGCTCGATAAATTGCTGTACAATTTTTCAAAACTCTTCGTCTCCCTGTTTCAGACTAAAAATCAATTTCTTCTGATATATACTTGTTTGTTGTTCGTCAATTTAGTGAAAAAGTATAGACCTGTTTTAAATTTTATTATTACATTTACATTATTAACAATCATAGAATTAATGTATATTATTAATGTTGCTCAGAGGAATTTTAACTCGATTACGTTACTTCGTGTTACGTTTACATTTACAGAATGTTAAAACGAATCATAGAACATAGTATTTCATGGAATTATTTCTGAAATGTTATACAATCGTTGTAGTATCGTTTAATATCGTTAATATATGAATATACGAAGATCTGACTCTTTTTCAACAAGTGTTGCACGCTTGTTAACTGCTTTAATCTGATCGTAACAGAATTCGTTTCGATCGACTAATAAATTAGATTGCTTAATGAGATGATGAACGACCGGCTGGTAATTCATTTTCTTCCCTTCTCCTCCATAAAACTTGGAATGCCTTCAGATCCAGAAGATATTCGTTAAGGGAATTGTTTAAGTTCATTGATGTTTGATTCCCCAGATTCATTGTAGATTCATTAAATACTTTGAATCAGCTTGGCGATTCAAGATTCGTATAAAACGAAACTTTTATCCGACGATTCGTATCGAAGCTTAACTAGAAGTGAGAAAAAAAAAGATAAAAAGTATGTGGAATAACCATCTGAAATGTTCACTTCTTTAGTATACAATTTTTATAAGCTTAACTAGATGTGAAAAAAAGAGATGAAAAGTATGTGTAATAACCAT